CGGCACTCTACCCAGGGGGACAGCTTGAGGCTCTGTCTCAAAAAAAAAAAAAAAAAAAAAAGTAGCACCTAGTGGGGGATGCATTACTAATTCTTGTTAAAATACAACATGTGTCAAAATATTTCTCAACACATAGCTTTTGGTAGATTTCCTATAAAATTGAAGATTTTGACATTCAGGTGTTAAAACTTAAAGCTTCCTGATGGCTAGTGCCACCTTAAGTCACAACTGTGTTCCCAGGACCGTGTAGATGCTTAGATGTTTGAATCCATGAAGAAATGAATTAATTTTCTTAGTTTGTGGTAAGTGGGCCTGATTTTAAGTCAGTCAGCAGTGTTAAGACATCTAACCTTGTACATCCAGATAGACAGAAACTGCCCTACCCACCTGTTACTTATTATACGCCCTTCTCAGAGCCTGTGTGTTTTGAGGAAATGATTTTTATTTCTACTTTTTAAGGCCTTTCTGGCTGAGAGGATAATTACTTATAGAATAATTTTGCCTATAATACCCCTTTCGACAGCAGGTGTCAATAAAATTCATTTAGCAATTAATCATCAATGCATGACAATGCCCTTGTTACTGGAATGGTTATGGAAGTCTTAGGTGGACTCCACATTTGTCTGTCCTGTCTTCCCAACTAGGTTATCTTCCCTTAAGGGATGATCCTGGGAACCTTGTCTATAATAAGGAATGAGACAATTTTGGTTTTAGATTTTGCAGAGAGCTAAGAATACACACATAACACATTATTTCAGGACCACCAACTTGTTTGGCTCTCCTGACCTTTTCTGGCTGGGTGTTTGAATGTTTGTCACCAGGTCTAGCTTTTGTGGTTCAATCCATAGGACAAATTGGTGACCCAGTGTTAATGGAGGCTGCTTTTAGATTTCCAGGGCATGGCAAAATTATTTATGTAACAGTTTGCAGTGATGATTTCCCAGTGGCTCTTATAATAATATCAGTTAAAATTTATAGTATCCAGAAGACAGAAAATATGCCTCTTACACAGGAGGTGCAAGACCTGAGACAGTGTTTGTGGACCCTCATCTAGGGATTGGCTTGATGACGGGATCTTTTGTGACTTCCCCATTAACCAGGGTGTACACAGTCATGAAGCGGTGGCCTCAGCTGCAGAGTTACACAGTCCCTTTGGTCAGAGTTTTTTCCTTCAGAGTAGCAGGAAGGTTTGTCAGAGCGTTATCATCAAAATCAATTTAAAGGATCTTCATCAAAACATTTTTTTGCTTTTGGGTGGTGCCTGTGGCTCAAAGGAATAAGGCGCCGGCCCCATATGCCAGAGGTGGCGGGTTCAAACCCAACCCCGGACAAAAACTGCAAAAAAAAAAAAAAA